TCACTTGGCTGCTGGCTTGGAATGGCTGAGATTTATGGGATGACATGGAAGTGGTTAGTTTATTGGGGACCAGTTGTCTGTATGCTGACCGCAACCCTGAGTATTTCACCTTGAAGGGGTTGATTATGTTGGCTCTCACTGGCTTATTTCAGAAAGGGACAAGGTGTGTTCTCAAGGAAAGCAAGTTTTCTTGGTTCCTGGTAATAACCACGGTACTGGCTACAGAATTAAGTAAATATAGGTGCAATGACTATGTGTGAATTAAATGAATTCCTTGTTTCTGCAGGGCTAGGTTTATGGACCTCCTCTTCTTACTCACTGGGTGCAGTAAGCTGGGTCAAAACCAAAGAAATATGCCTGTGCCTCCTCTAACCCACCGTGGAATGCAAAAACAAGCAGCAAAGATAGAATTCTACAGAGAAGAATACTCTGTCTTCCTTCTGCCTTGCTCCTTCTCCTTTCTTCCTCTTGCAGTTACTTAAGGTACCACGAACTATACTGAGGACCACCGACAGCTGGCTTGCTATGCTGGTCAGCCATCTTATCTATTTGACAAAATTATTATTTTTTATCATTATTTTATCTTCTTTTCTTATTTCTATTTGACTAAATTATTAAGGCCAAGAGAGTAAGACTTCTTCAGAAATTATAGGAGGTTTGGAATGAGACATACGAGGGTTTGAATTCCAGCTGTACTGTGTATTAGCTGTGTGACCTTGGCCAATAATTTAAACTCTCTGAGCCTTTGATCCCATTAAAAAAAAAAAAGGAACAATACTGTCTCTCACTGGCTTGTGATGAGAATTAATTGAGATATTGATATGAAGTGTCTAGGAAAATTCTAATCCATAGTGGATGGTCAGTAAATGGAAGTTTGTTGCCTTCTCTTGGCAAAGCACTGGAACCCTGTATTTGCTGTGGGTCTTTCTGCTAGACATTACTGCTAGTTTCCAATATTTGTGATTTTCCTCTCTTTCTGGACAAGTGGAAGAATTGTACTTCTTCTGCCCCTGGAAGCTCCTCATGGCAGTATGACTTGCTGTACCCAACATGATGTGAGTGGAAATACTGAAGAACTGACCTATGATTCTCTTTGACTCCTGTTCTCTGCCAAGGCAATTGCAGAAGCAGTTGTTGGTATGGAAACATCATAAGATGGAAGCATCCTGGAACACTGAGCCAATACATGGAGAACAGCTGCTCTGAAGAGTTGCCCAGGCCCACCGTAGACTCTGTGTGATCAAAAAATAAACTTTTGTTATGTCCGATGTATTAGTCCCTTTATGTTGCTTAAAACAAAGTACACAGAACTGGGTGATTTATAAAGAAAACAAAATTTATTCTTTACAGTTTCTGAGGCTGGGAAGTTCAAAGTCCATCTGGTGGTGGTGACAGTGACCCAGGGGTCTCACATTGCAAGATGGTGGAAGCAGAGAGAACAGAGGGAGAAAGACAGACTCTCCTCTTCTTTAAAGCCCACAGAACCACACTCCTGACCACCATTTTTCATCCACTCACTACTGCACAGTCCTACAATCCAATCACCTCTTCAAGGCTCCAACTTTCCACTAACATAATAGGATTTCCCACCCTCTTAACAGTCCCAGTGGGGGCTAAGTTTCTAATACATAAAACTTGGGAGACACAATTCAAGTTTCAGTGAGTTTTGGGAGGACATAATTCAATCCACTACATCCCACCACTGGGATTCTAGTATTATTTGCTACTACAACATAATCCAGACTCTCTTGACTGATGCATATACAGAGATGTATAAGATGGATCTGAAAATGCTTTGATACAAAAGCAGGAGCTCTGTTAGAGGAGTGTTCAAAGTAATGCAGAACACTGAGAAGAGAGTAACTAATACTGCTGGGCTGGACAGGAAAAAAAAAAATAAAAAGGATGTAGCATTTGAGATGGACTGTGAGAGCCAAGAGAGAGAGATGAATGAAAACATCTAAAGGACAATTACAAGTTCATTGGGTGGAAGAGGACAGATGTACTGAGACAGAGGGAAAGCGTGGACAAAGGCACAGAGATGTGAAAGCTCATGGGGTGTTCTGGGAAGAATAAGAGCTAGCATTCCCTGTGGAACATCTCCCCAGTTAATCTTTTCCATGTAGAACGTTTCTTCATAGAATGTGTCTCTCAATACAATGCTTTCTCACCAATATTTATATTGGAAAAATATTATATTTATGTTTCCCAAACATAACAAACTTTTTAACAAAGTGATGGGCAAGTCAATGGAGAAAGTCTTGAGGTTCATTCGACATACAAATTGGTAGCAAATCAGAGTTCGCAGAAGACAACTGGAAAGACTCTAAGTGTCAACAAGGGGACATGCAGTATGTTATACAGACAAAGCAACAACCATACTAACTATTGAGTAATCAGGAAGTATTGTTTGAAATACTTTGCATCCTTATTTTACTGCATTTAAATATACAAACAAATAAATAAATACAAAAATGTTTTAAAAATATTTTACATCCTGAGTTAGTTTGTTGCTTATATACAGGCATTTTACTGTGTTTTAAGAAATTGGTTGAGGATTTGAGGTTGAGATGTAATACACTAAAAATGTTCCCATTTAAAATAACTGAAAAATGGCTCCAGGTTAATGTTTTCTTGCAAACTGTGTAAAGTGAACAATGCCTGTATTTCTGTATGGTAGGGATTGAAAGGGGCAGAGGTAGACCTTATATGACCTGTGAAGGAGCCTGCACTTTATGCGGTAGTGACTCAGAGGTTTTTATGCATAGCAGTGACATATGGACATGTGTGTATTTTATTGACATGCATGGGCAGCGCCTAAAGTAGGGAGCTGGTAATGGCTGAGTCCAGGTGAGAGGTGAGGGCTGAACTAAGGCAGTGGAATGAAGAGGAGGGATCAGAGAGACATTGCGGGGGCTGAATGGTGGATGGAAGAGCACAGAGGGTAAAAGGGAGTTGTCTAGAAAGGTAATGGGGTCATGGTGTATTAGCCAAAGTGAGAAACCTCAGAGGAAGAGGGGAAAGTAGGACAAGGAGCAGCAGCAGCAGGTTTCATGGCAGGAGGATGGCTGACAGACAGCAACTTTTGTTTTGGATGCATTATTTTGAGATGTTCTCTGAAAAGGTGTCCCTCCAAAAACCAACCTAATAGCCCACACTGGCTCCCCGCACTGGGCAACAACAGTGACATCACTAAGGTAAAGTGAAAATAGACTCTCTATTGTTGGGAAAATTTGAGAGAAAAAGCAAGACTCATGAAAGTATTTATTATAATCTGGAGCCTGCCAAATCCCTCTCCCCTGATGCTCTGAGTTCTGGATCCCCACAGTCATCAGCACAGTTGATGTGACTCCCAGGAGCCTGACTCCCTCTGGCCAGGGGCCATCAAGATGCCTTTGTTTCTACAGGGAAAGTAGAGTCAGCTGGAGAATCATGGTTTCTGCCTTAGAAAGCATTGGCCTGTATAAGTTCCATTACGGTTATTTGCAAACAGGCCTGATTTCTTTTAGCTTCTCTGGGACCTCGCAGATTGATGAGGGTTCATGAGTGGGCTTTACTGGGCTACAGAATTCAGTCTTAAATCCATGTTAACTAGATTGAAATGAGCTTTTTTGAGAGAGAATATAAGTCCACAAGGGTAGGGAATTTTGTCTGTTTTATTTACTGATGGATCCTAGTCTCTAGAACAGTCCTGGGACATATTGGAGCTCAGTAAATATTTGCCGAATTGAATTAAATTGAGATTCAGTCTTTTCGCAAGTTGATTTCCTGTTTCCTGTCAGTTTCTAGAGCGGTCAGTGTTGTGCTGTGCTCATCCATCTTCCTCACTCCCTGGCTCAGCTCCAACTCCTGGAGTTTGGAATGCACAAGTTGGGCCTGTGCCATGGCAGAGTTCTGACCACCACGCCTGGGCATGTGCTAGAAGGAAAATACATCTTCTTCCACAGAAAGACTTGCATTCTCACACCTGGGAATCTGTGGCTGACTGTCCTGGCCCCTCTCACATGCCCAGAAACAGAAGGAGCAATTGCTTCACACAGCAGTCAAGCCCAACACTGCTGCAATCCATGCACATAATACCCAGAGTGAAGGCACTACTCTCCAAGGTCCTCCAGCACAGGCCCACTACTGTATCCCACACTGAGCATAGGGCCTGTGATCAATGAATATTTGCTCAATGAAAGAAAGAAAGAATCAGTGGCATAGCTGAATATTATTCTGGGTCTCTCCTCCAGGTCTATCTCAGTTTTAAGTTATATTTTAAAGAACATATTTTCTGGATCCTTGAGAAGTTTTCTCAAACAGAACAATCTCCAGTTATGCTACTGATAGATACAAGCAGGCAGATTGGAATGTTGTTCTGCTTGGCACTGCTCTGCCCCTAAAAATACAGGATGATGGGCCCCTCTAGGATCCAGCCTTCCAAACAGAACTGCCCTACCAATGCTTCTCTGCTCCTTTGGTTATGCTGCAATGTCAAGTGGGATGAGGAGGACGTCCCCCAGGCCACAGTGCTCTGGGCCTCAGAGAAAGGGTTTCTGGCTTCCTCCCTGAACTGGCAGTGGGAATGGTCTGTCAAATTTTCTCATAGGCTGGGCAGAAACCTAGTTACAGGTTCCTACACTGCCCTTCTCCCAGGAAAAGTCTTAAATTTCATTTTAATTCTACAGTGAGTCCTGGAAGTTTCATTCATTCATTCACTCGTTCATTGCCTACCATTGACCCTGCACCCTCCTAGGTTCTGGCTATACTGTGGAGAGGAAACCAGGTTCAGCTCCTACCTGTGCCCATGCTCCCCACCTCCCCACTAAGTACTGCTGTATCATTCCACCCTTGGTAGGCCCAGCAAGCCCAAGACTTCTCCAGGGAAATGTGAATGCTCAGCTAGCATACACTCAGACCCTCCCTCCAACTCAGCATGTCCTCACATGGATTGTGCAGACTTCAAGCATTAAGACAGAGGCAATAGGCAAATTGAACCAAAGTTGTCTATTTTTTTATTGGAACATAGCATAGCATGAAATAAATATTAATTTACCAAATTCTTAATCATTTCATAAATAATATTAGGTCTATAGCATTTTACAGAATGTTAAGTTAAATAAGATAAAAGTATATATCTATTTTGCCAAAAGCAAACTGGAGGAAAATACTTCAGTGATTCTAATATCTGAAACATATCTCAAATACTTTATTCTTTCTGCTTGTGTGAGGTGCTAAAGTAGCAGTATGCTTTAATATTTACTTTGCCTTTGAAGTCTAATTACACTGAAAATTAAGGCTCCACCCTTGGTTGGCCCTCATTTTCGTTGCGATAAAATGTCCTTGTCCTTCTTCAAAAATCTTTGGCTACAATAAACTAGTTTAGTCTCAATTCTCCATTGTCCACTCGGTGTTTATTATACCAAGAAATTCTTGCAGGTAGTCTAGGAATTGCTTTACTCTCCGTCTTTCTTCTCCACACTTTTTCTGTGAAAAAAACAGACAAAAAGTATTGTAGGAAATTGTCAGTTTTTGTAGAAATAGACACAACCAGACAAATATAATTTCCACTGAATGTTTGTAACTTACTTTTTGGAGGTCAATGTATTTTTTTATTAAAGACAAGTTCTGGAATAGCTTTTCCACAGTATCCCTTTGTACAGTTTGATTCTTCAGTGTGTCTATTCCCTGAAAGATTTCTTCAGTGCATAGTTGGTGCTAAATGAAGATTTTTAAAAAGCAAATAATCAAAACTAGGTATAAAAATTCGGTTCATTAGCCATCCCACAATGCATACATATTTCAAAACATCATGTCGTACACGATAAATATACACAATTTTTATTTGTCAATTAATATAATTAATTATTATTATTTTGGGGGGTGGCTGGCCAGTATGAAGATCCAAACCTTTGACCTTGATGTTACAACACTGTGCTCTAACCAACTGAGCTAACCAGCCAGCCCTTAATTAACTGATTAAAAAAATTTTGGTTCAAAAAGTTAGGCTTTATTTGTTGTGTTTACATGAATTCTATTCTCCAAAGAATTTTTTGCTTTTTCCTCTTCCAGGTGGCAAACCACCTCATACTGAGAAAAGTAGATGAAGCTTATGTAATTACTAAAGAGTTTTACAAATGATATAAATTAATCACTTAACCAGAAATAAAATCTCTAGAAAGTGTAATGCAATTACATTACTAATTGAACTCACATCGGTGTTTTCTTTTACAGTTCTAACTGGTAATTTAATTCTATTTAGAATAATAAAATCATATATTTTACATTTTAATATGACCATGACATATTCCAAATGTACATGATATTAATATTGTATTAATTAACACTGTAGTCATAATCATTTAAATATGTGGAAATTATTAATATAGGGCATTTTTTGTATATTTTAATGTCTACTAATCATGATTCTAAAAATATAACCCTGAGTTGCTAATTCTTTCAGAAAGACTTTAGAGTAAGGAAGGCCATAGACAGTCAGAAACGAACAGAGACTAGCAGGTACCTCTCACTCATTGTGGAATTTTTCTGGAAAGAATCCCTATACGAGGCTCTTTGGGATGGAGAACTGACAACATCACTAAAGGGCCTGATCCGCTTGTTTAATGGATTCTGCTTGTTAAAAAGTTATTCCTAACATTTATATGTACCTACATTCATATCCACCCATATGAAAACAAAATAGAGAAAATTAAATAGTTCCAATGACGACTAATGATTTACAGCTTAAAATATGACATGCACTTATTCGTGCAGCCATTTTACTGAATCATAATTTAACTTACATTTTTATGTACAGGAACAGGAATCCTCAGGGTCTGAAAGGAAAGAAAATATAGTCATTTTTAGAGCACTCCAGCATTCATAACTTGTAATATAATGCTTAACTGTGTGGTTATCATCTACATATTACTAATATATTCACTTCATTACTTACAACAGATCTTCATACGTGGTAAATGAACCACCACAAGTGATTATCTAAGCACTTTTAAACATGTTGGAATCAACAAGAAAATTACCTCATTGTCTATCAGCAGAGTTTGATGAGAGGAGAGCAGGGTCAAGGTCTCTTTCACTAGCGTACTCATGGGAATTTCTGTGGCAATAGCACAAACACAGACAGCTCCAAGAGCTAACAAATTCAAGTGCAGAAGCATCCTCATGGCTCTGAAATGTTCAGCGTTTGCCTTTGGCCAAAGAGAGTGTGTAGTACATGATTGCATCCTCAACCAATTTATTCCGTCTCTTTGAGGAAATGAATAATTTCTAACAATCAGATAGAGAATGCCTAATAATGGCATATCATAAAACCAAATGTTTCCAATGCTTTGTATCTCAAAAAAATAAATTTACTTTTATCTTTTTTTTTTTTTTTTTTTAAAGATGACCGGTAAGGGGATCTTAACCCTTGACTTGGTGTTGTCAGCACCACGCTCAGCCAGTGAGCGAACCGGCCATCCCTATGTGGGATCCGAACCCGGGGCCTTGGTGTTGTCAGCACCGCACTCTCCCGAGTGAGCCACAGGCCGGCCCCGACTTTTATCTTTTAATATAACAAAAATCCCTACTTTTTCCCCTTTTAAAACATTTTCTATTACAAAATAAAATATTTGTGTTGTTATATTATTGCCCCACATTTGCATTTCTTAAAATCAGAAGGTTGAATTTTTTCTTAACAAATGTGTGTAAAAAGAAGTATAATATAAACTAGTAAGCAGAATTTAAGACTAAAACACATACAAAATGGGAATGTTTTCTCAGATTGACTAAATTCTACCATGATTGTTGCTAGATTGATCTGTCTTAAAAGGAATTGAAAATATTGGTGGGAAGATAGTGATTAAAGCAGAGTCAAATTGTGTTCAACAGGATCTTGATCAGGACAGGGTCAAGTTGTGTTCAACAGAGTCTTATAGGATGCTTTCTATTGCCAGGAACCAAAAACCTAACCCAAACTGGCTGAAGATAAGAAGGGAATTTATTGGCTCATATAACCAAATAGTCCAGGGATGGAGGCTCCTATATATCTTGCTTGCTTCAGTGCCTCTTAGTTGACTCTTCTCAGGCAGCTCTGCTACTGTGGTCCCCAAATGGTATCAAAACTCCTGCATCTATATGTATCCTGTTTATCACAGCAGGACAAATCAAGTTGTGCTGTTCTGATTGTTCAATCAGAAGTCCTAGAATTCAGTCTCTTTGTGACAAGGGTCACATGTTCACCTTTGAACTGTGGCCAGGGATATGGGATATACTGATTGGCTCTACCTGGAGCTGAAGTGGACTCGTCCCACCTGAATCACATAGGTGACAAATTTGGGGTGCTAAGTAGCTGTAAGGCAGACACAGATGCTGGTGAGGCAACCAATAAATATCTGTCACAGACACATAACACATGGGCATGGTCTCTCCTTTCTGTCCCGCAAGGGTGGAGAGTCCTTTCACACCTTGGGTGGGCTATGTATGAATATGTTTAAGCAGCCTTTGATCCTTAGGCTCAGAGCTGTAATCCCAGAAAGGAGAAAATGATGCCCTATCCTAGACCAAACACTTCCTTCTTTCCTTGCTTGAGGCACATGATGGAGGTGTAGACCATTGTTTTCAATGGAGGGTTTCAGTGAGCCTCCCAAAGTGGTTCTGTGTTGGTGGCCTGGAAGCCTGATTTTAGGAAAGCATCTAGGGGCCGGCCCGTGGCTCACTCGGGAGAGTGCGGTGCTCATAATACCAAGGCCACGGGTTCGGATCCCATATAGGGATGGCCGGTTTGCTCACTGGGTGAGCGTGGTGCTGACAACACCAAGTCAAGGGTTAAGATCCCCTTACCGGTCATCTTTAAAAAAAAAAAAAAAGGAAAGCATCTAGGGGCCGGCCCGGGGCTCACTCGGGAGAGTGCGGGGCTCATAATACCAAGGCCACGGGTTCGGATCCCATATAGGGATGGCCGGTTTGCTCACTGGGTGAGCGTGGTGCTGACAACACCAAGTCAAGGGTTAAGATCCCCTTACCGGTCATCTTTAAAAAAAAAAAAAAAAAGGAAAGCATCTAGGACAGATGGTACCAAACACAAATTGTTCCCCATGACAACCAAAATCTACTCTGACCAGGTCAGTTTAATTATACTGCTTCAGGAGATCTGCGGTAAGTCAATAGTCATGTCCACCTGTCCTGGAAAATGTTATTATAAGAGCATTTTTACTTAGCAGCAGACAGGATGGCACCAGAAAACCATAAAGTAATCTAGAATGCTTTTTTAAAAAATCTTTTTATTATTCTTTTTAACAAACCTTAGAATGGTTCGTGTGACCCTTACCCTAGATTTCTGCATGTGGGATGTAACCTAGTAACAATCCCAAATTTATACGTCTTGTAAACTAACAAAAAACCTAATGAAGTTATTAGGTGGGGCTGTCCTCTCTCTCCTTTGATCCTTCCCCCTGCTTGTGATTATAAAATGCTAAGCTCTGCCAGCCCTCTTCAGAGCACATTTCTTAGGGCAACCTGAACTATGCGTCTCCCCAGTTGCAATCATCACATTGGCTCAATAAATCCTTGCTATATGTATTTGGTAGAGTTTCAGTTTTGCAGAATAAAAAAAGTTCTGGAGATTTGTTGCACAATATTATGAATGTACTTAACATTAATGAAGTGTACACTAAAAAATGGTTAAGATGGTAAATTTTATGTTATGTGTATTTTACTACAAGTAAAACCTTTTTATTTTTAGGTCAACACCCAAAATCCTTTTCCAAAGCTGCATACAGTTCTGTATGAGAAGCAGAAGCAGCTAAGAGGTCAACACACACTTAACATGCATGTAATCCCAGCTCTACATTGGTAGGATAAAAGTAGCATAGGATTTTAGCGGCAGCCTTTCTGTACCATATCTGGTTTTGTTTGTGCTAAAGTTTTGGGCTCTTGGTTAGACATGTGTGATTGAACACATGAGAGATGTTTCCCTTGAAACTGCAGGAGAGATACTGGCTCACTTCAGCAACTCTATTAAGAGTGAGGGAGGAATCAGAGTAGGCTTGGATCAAGGTGCTCTTAAAATGGTGATCTCAGAACTGAAGCCAAGAGTTCTTTCTGGTTCCTCTCAGATGCCTTTAGGTTACAGTGAGAAAGTGTGAGCTTAGATGAAGGTTTCAGAGGAAATGCCAAATAACTTGTTATCTTAGTACCTTAAATACACAAACCCCCAAGCATTTAGATTCTATCATAGGGCTGCACAGGCAATCTAAGTGGTAGCAGATCGAGATACCACTGTATTAGCCTTCACTAAGAAGACGACTCACCAACCACTATCTTTAGGGGAGTAAAACTGGATGGCTGTGAAAAATGAGTGAAATGGGCAAGATGTAATATAACAAAGGTGGTAGGAGCTACGTTCAACTACAGCATGCATGATCTGTCTACAGGTGGCAGGTGCTACTCAGCTCCAGCTGATTGTTATCATGTGACTTCCTTTGCTTATGTTGCCAGATCATCCAGTTTTTTAAAGAACCCTGAAATCCTGATTATGTATAATCTCCTGATTTCCAAATGTTGGCAGCTATATAGGGTGCCATTCTACATCCTCTGATTAACAGTATAACTGTGGGTTCCTATTGGAGAGCTAGTTATACAATATATTTTCTATCCAAAATTGTATTTCTTTAAAAATTTTTTTACTTGTAGTAAAATATATGTAGCGTAAAATTTGCCATCTTAACCAGTTTTACATGTAACCATTTTTAGTTCAGTAATGTTAAGTACATTCCTAATGTCGTGAAACTCTAGAACTCTCCAGAACTCTTTTCATCTTGCAAAATGGAATCTTTGTACCCCCTTTTCCCAGCACCTGGCAACCACTCTTCTACTTTCTGTCTCTATGAATTTGAGTACTCGAGGTACCTCGTATAATCATACAGTATTTGTCTTTTTGCAACTTGTTTATTTCACTTGGCATAATGTCTGTCCTCAAGGTTCATCCTTGTTGTAGCATGTATCAGAACTTCCTTCCTTTTAAAGGCTGAATAATATTCCCTTGTATGTGTATACCATGTTTTGTTTATTAACTGTTGATGGACACTTAGTTTGCTTCCATCTTTTGGCTATTGTGAATAATGCTGCTAAGAATGTGAGTGTAGAAAACTATATTTCTTATAATGTTGTGATAAATCATTTACTTTTCCTCTATGAGTCTGATCTCCCCAAGCTGATGGCAAACTCTCTCAGAGTAGGGACTGTAAAATAATGTGGTTTTTTGGCCAGGGTAGGCAGCTGGCCTGTACGGGGATCTGAACCCTTGACCTTGGCATTATAACATCTCGCTCTAACCGACTGAGCTAACCGGCCAACCCAATAATGTATTTGAAAGAGCTTTATTAATGTAAAACTCTAAACAAAAGTTAGGGGTTTTAATCTCCTGTGCAGAAAAAATCCAAATAACTTATCTAGATATAGTCATTCCTCAGGATTGGTTCCACGACCCCCTGCAGATACCAAAATCTGTGATGCTGAAGTCCCTTGTATAAAATGTAGTACAGTCGGTCCTCTGTATCTGAGGATGTGGAAGGGCTGCCTGTACTCCAGTATCAAGTAGGTAGAGAATAATCCCTTTTTCCTTAAGTTTGGGATGCACAGAGTGACTTTGATTTAAACAGAACAGTAAGGAAAGGGGAGAATAAGAGGAGTAACTTTACCGTGGAGAAATCTGGTAACCACCACCTCAGCCAGGCAATCAAGGTCAACACTGACAGTGATAAGCCATGTTAATAGCATGATATGATGTGATAAAAAATGGTACTTCATCTCTCTGATTTTCTTCCCCCAAATCCATAACCTCTGTCTAAGCATAAGAGAAACACTACACCACAAAACAAATGAAAACAAAAAAGAAAAAAAAATTTAAAAAGACAAATAGAAAAAAGGAGATTTAAAAAATAGAACAAAAACAAAAAATAAATAACATAGTTTTTAAAAATTAAAAAAACCAACAAGAAAGGAAAACACTACACATACCCAAATGGAAGGGCAAAATAACTCACTGGTACTCCTTAAAACTGTTAAGGTCAACAAAAGCAAACAGACTTCGAGAAACTCTCACAAGCTGAGAGATATGATGACTAAATGCAATGTAGTACCCTGGATGAGATCCAGGAACAGAAAAAGGACAGTAGGTAAAACTAAGGAACCAAAAACTCCACAAAACTGTAGAGTTTAGTAATGTACCAATGTTGGTTCCTTAGTTGTGACAAATGTACCATAAGTAATGTTAACAACAGAGGAAACTGGGTGCAGGTACACTAGAACTCTCTATAATATTCTTGCAACTTTTCTGTAAATCTAAAATGGCTTAAAACAAAAGTTCATTAAAAAATAACACTGTAAGTTGAAAAAAAGGTAATGATTATGTTTACTATTATTAAAAAGACTTTGTATCCCATGAATGTCATGCACTTGGGACCTTTTTTACTTCAACACTAGACTGTGAGCTCCTTGAGAATAAGGTTTTTATTTAATTCATCTCCTCATCCTTGAGGACTAGCCTATTGTCTGCACTCAATTAATGTTTGTTGAATAAATAACTGAATGAATAAGCAGACACTCATTGTAGTTGTTTATCAAATTAATGTGAATACTGTGGATTCTCAAGGAGTCTATTTCCTGCAGCTGGGAGCCTGAAGTTATAGAAACAACTTTGGCAAGATTCATGAAAAAAAGATAGAGCAAAGCTTTAAGGTTTAGCTGTAGAGACCAAGCCAATGTGACCTACCATGACATTTTTTAAAATCCACATTATTTTAGGGGAATAGGAAGAAATTAGCCATCAGTACTCTGAATTTTTACGAGTTATTGGTAATTACATAATTTAGAAAAAGGACTTTAAATAATGTTGAAAAGTTATATTAGTGGGTAACATCCATCCTTTTGTGGTAAAACTTTTATCTGTATTAGTAGGTTATAAACTGGAAACATGTTTTTAAAAACTGATAACTGTGGTTTTTACTAACTGTGTAGTCATTTAATAAGATCAAATGACTTTTCCATGAATTGATTCTAATCAATCAACTGGGCATGATGCTCCACATTTTTTATGGTGACTAAACGTAAATTGATAGCATCTCTTTCTCTTCTTGACTCTATTCTAGCCTCCATCCTTTCAATCCCTAAGCACATCTTTCATGTTTTTTTTTTTTACTGAATAAATTACATTACAGGAAAATAAACACAGAACAACTTTTCCTTGGCATAGCAACTATCAGTTTTTTGATGACCTCTTCCAATCTTTAATAACACATAGACAGTTCTACAGTTATAATCAATGAATATGTACAATTTGTATTTATCTTTTTTGATTATTAATATTTCTTTCCTATATGTGTACAGTTTCCTACTTATTTTAATGGTTACCTGCTATTAGATGTAACTGATGTGCCACAGTTTACTTCACCATTTCTCAACTTGTAGGCATTAGGGTTGTTTCTAGCATTCCACAATTTTAAATAATGCTAATAGAAACCTTGGTAGAACTTTTTAAAAAATATTTTCTTATGTTAAGGAACTTGTGTGGTCATTTTAGCCTCTGTCTCATTTTACCAGATCACCCTCTGAAAATATTCAATGCACAAAAAGAAATCTCTTATATTTTTACAGTTTCACAATTTATAAAGCACTTTCACAAAAATAACTGTGTTTAATCCTGACATCAGCCTTGTGAGATAGATTTCTTTCCCTGAAGGTCCATTAGCACTAGGCTTTAACGGTTTTGCTAACGTAGTGAGTGAATGAACCCAGAGAGAAGGAGTGATGCAAGAAGCAGTGGGGATTAAAGAGTTTGGGAAGTTCATCGGTAAACGTAAACAAATAATGCTGGCAAGAAAATAACAGAGTTATTTTGATTCTTATTTCAAGACACAAGGAAAAAAATTTTAAACCATGATAATGTGGGAGATAGAGTGATCAGAATTGGCACATTTTACAATCCTTGTACTGTTCAGAATGTTGCTAAAGATACTAACCTTAGACTTCAAAGTATGTATGTGAAAAATTTAGGACTAACCACTAAAAAAATAGAAATAGAATGTATATCTTCCAAACAAGTAGAGTAAAACAAAGAGGCAAAGAAGCTTAATCAATCGAGAAAGCAGGAAAGGAGAAAAAGAGCACAGAAAAAGCACAGAATAAGATACACAAAATAAGTTCAACTTTACCAGGAATCACAGTAACCGAAAACAGATTAATCTATTAAAAGGCAAATACTATAAAATTTTATTAGAAACCTGGCTATGGGTTGCTCACTCAGTAGAGCATGTGTTATAACACCAAAGTCAAGTGTTCAGATCCCCAAACTGGCCAACCACCAAAAAAACCCGTCTATCAGCTATTTTCAAGAGGTACACTTAAAGCAAAATGACACAGAAAGGTTGAAAATCAAGGGATAGGAAGATATGCCAGATAAATACTAGTCAAAAGAAAGTCCATATACCAATATCAACATCAGAAAAAGCCAGAATTTGTCACAAAGGATAAAGAGGTTCACCAGTGGGTGTAAGATAGTATCTCATGGTAGTTTTATTTTTCAAGAGAAACCAAACATTTTTCAGTAGTAGTAGTTTACTGAGAAATGCAGACTTGACTGATTTACCTTTTTAGATCTTTTTAATTTAGGGGGGGTTAACCATTTTGATTGCGAATCTTTTAAATCCCAATCCTAGAGCTTTTACCTTACTTTTGTAGTTTCCCAATGTTACAAAGTTGAAATTTTTTGTAATGGAGTCTGGCTACCTTGTCATGTCCATTTTTTTCCTTCAAATATTTTTTTCTGAAGTATTTAAAAGTAAATTACAGACAGCATGACACTCTATCACTAATACTTCCATATGCATCTAAAAAAAAGATCATTTTCTTATATAGCAAAATGTCATTACATCTAAAATAATAAAGTTAATAGTTCTTTTCTATCATCTAATTTCCAGTCTACGTTCAAATTTCCCCACGGATCCCCTAAATTTCCTTCATTTCTCTATGTCCAAACCAGAATCCAAATCAGGACCATGTGTTGCATCTGGGTGATATGTACCTCAAATCTCTTTTAATTTGCAACAATTCTTTTTTAAGTCTTTTAAAATCTACAATAGTCTTTGCTTTAATGAACTGATGTCCTGAGAGTCTGGGACAGTGTATTGTAACACATTCCACCTTCTGAATTTGCCTTTTCCATCCTTGTGGTGTTGTTAGCTTAATCCTTGTAATTCCTGTGAACTGAAAGTTAATCCAAAGGTGTGATTAATTTCATATTAAACTTTTTTTTTTTTTTAGCAAAACCGCCTAAGAGGCGATATTGAGTACTTCACACTGAGATCAGAGACATACAATGTCTTGTTGTCTCAGTCATTGCTAATTTCTTAGTACTTTGAGTCATAAAAATTTTCCTTTAAAAGTGGTGGTAATTACATTTCTGGCCTTTTCTTTTATTGTTTTCAGAAATGTCTAGACCTTCATCCACCCAGAACTTACGGTCATAAGTAAAATAAGGTGTAGGTTTGCTTTCTTCTTCCCACTCATATCCAGGTACCCACGGCATTTATTTAAATGATCTTGGTGGGGAAATAATGGGCTTGGTGGTTACACAACTGTTTGTATTTGTCAAAACTCATGGAACTATCTGGAAAAGGGTGCATTTTACCGTATGTAAATTATGCTTCAGTAAACCTGCCTTTTAAAATCATCTTTTCTTGAATAGACATTTTTTCAAAGAAGATATACAAATGGACAATAAGCACGAGAATATGCTCAATATCACTAATCATTATTTAAATCCAAATTAAAACTACAATGAGATACCACCTCATACCTATTAGGATGGCTACTATCAAAAACACGGAAAATAAGTGTCAACTAGGATATGGAGAAATTGGAACACCTGTGCACTGTTTTGGCAATGTAAAATGGTACAGCCACTGTGGAAAACATGGTGATTCCTCAATAAATTATAAATAGAATTACCCAGCAATTCCACTTCTGGGTATTTACCCAAAAGATTTGAAAGCAGGGTCTTGAGGGAACATTATTCACAACAGCTAAAACATGGAAGGAATCCAAGTGTCCATGGACAGATGAATGGATAAGCAACATCTGGTATACACACAATGGAATTTTATTCAGCCTTCAAAATAAACAAAATTCGACAAATGGTACATATGGATGAACCTTGAGGACATTATGCTAAGTGAAATAAGCAAGTCATAAACTGACAAATACTGTATGATTCCACTTACATGAGGTCCTTAGACTAGTCAAAATCATAGAGACAGGAAAATAGAATGTTCCTTGTCAGGGGCTGGCAGGAGAGGGAAATGGGAGTTATTGTTCACTGCGTATAGAGTTTCAGTTTTGCAAAATGAAAAGATTTCTAGAGATAGAAGGTGGTGATAGTCACACAACAATGTGAATATACTTAATGCCACGGAACTGTACACTCAAAAATGGTTAAGATTGCAAGTTTTAGGTTATGTGTATTTTACCATAATTTTTTAAATTGGGGAAAAAATGTCTTTCATCTTTTCCCATTGTCTTATTGCATTTGGTTTGTCAAATAAGACATTACTATATAATGTCTGTTTTGTTCCATTGATAATCTTAAATATCTGTTGTTATAAGTAGCGCTTTCATGTTTTCTTACCTGGTACAGCAAGAGACTACTTCTCACTGGCTTTCCCCATTTGCGTCCTTTGATAACATGAATTTTTTTTTTTCCTTTTTGTCTTTTTTACGGACCGGTAACGGGATCGCAACCCTCAGTGTCATGCCCGTACCGGGGACGGCAATGAGATCACAACCCTCGGTGTTGTGCCCGCACCGCGCTCAGCCAGTGAGCACCACGCTCAGCCAGTGAGCGGGAACCAGTCTCCACATGGGATCCCCTCCACGGGAGTGCCACCGCGCTCCCAAGCGGCGCACTCTCCAGTGCGCCACCGGGCCGGCCCTCCATTTGCATTTTTGATTTTATTTATTTGGTTTTTCTCTCTTTGTTTCTCGGTTAGTTTGTCTAATGGTTTGTTGATAACGTGAAGTCTTATTCCTGTCATTTTGATGGTTGTTTTCTGATAGTTTTGTGTACCCTTTGCCACTTTCTTCCTCTGTTAACATTTATCCTTGCAGTTTGGTGGTTTTCCCTATTGATAAAGCTTGATTCCTTTCTCTTTCTAATTTATCTACTCTACCAGTAACTTTTATATCTTCAGGTAATTTTCACAATGGTTGTTATCGTTCTTTCTCTTCTAGATGTAAGATTTCCTAAGTATTTCTTGTCAGGTCAGTCTGGTGGTGGTGAGTTCCCTTAATTATTGCTTATCTGAAAAAGACATTATTTCTTTCATTTCTGAAAGATAGCTTTGCTCTAGGTATAATATTCTTGGCTGCCAGTTTTTTTCTTTCAGTATTTTGGATATATCATCCTGTTCTCTTCTGGCCTGTAAGGGTGTCTGCTGTTAGTCTAATGAGGATTCCCATGTAAGTGACTCAGTGTTTTACTCTTGTTTTTTTTAGACTTCTGTTTAACTTTGGATAGTTTGACTGTAGTGTGTGTTGGAAATGACCCATTTGGGTTTAATCTATTTGGGGACCGGTGAGCTTCCTGGATTTGGATGTTTGCATGTTTCCCAAGCCTAGGGAAGTATTCGGCTATTATTTCTTTAAATGTGTTTTCAATATCTTTTTTGTTTTCCTCTTCTTTTTCTGGAATACTCATAATTCAAATATTTGTTTGCTTAATAGTATACCATAGGTCTGGTAATGTTTGCTAATTCTTTTTTCTTTTTCTTTTGTCCTCCTGTGTTACTTCAAAACTGCTTTCTTCAAGATCAGAAATGCTTTTTTCTGCTCAATCTAGTCTGTTGAAACTCTCAGATGTATTTTTTTTATTTCATTCCATTCTTCAATTCTAAGATTTCTGCTTGAGGTTTTTAAATGATGTCTTTCTCTTTGTTGAACATTTCATTCAGATCATTGAGATTTTTTTAAAAGTACAATAATATACGGGCCGGCCCGGTGGCGCACTGGGTAGTGTGCCGCTTGGGAGGCGCGGCGGCGCTCCCATCCGAGGGTTCGGATCCCACATACGGACCGATTCCCGCTCACTGGTTGAGCGAGGCACGGGTGCAGCGCCGAGGGTTGCGATCCCGTTGCCGGTCCCCGGTCCGGTACGGGGGCAACACTGAGGGTTGCGATCCGTTGCCGGACACGGAAAATCACAAAAAAAAAAAAAAAAAAAAAGTACAATAATATACTACAAACACATTCCATTAGCTACCATTGCTATGGCGTCATCACACGTCATGTGATCACTGGAAACCACTATACATTTGGGAGTGAATGAGGGTGAAAAAGGCAAATGACTTTAAGTATTGTTTGGAAAATAGTTTTCATATTAACAAACCCCCTTAATAGGTCTCCGATTCTACCCCACCCCACCCCAATCCTTATCTAGGAGTCACGGGATCATGCTTCAAGAAGCGCTGTCCGCCACAAGACTTGTTCCTCCCTTCTTATAGTCATCGTCCCTCGCTGCCGCCCGGCCCCAAAAAGGAGCTGGAAATCTGCGACTCCGGACAAGAGCACCAGGCTCCAAACCTGCCCCGGGCACGGCACCCGGAAGCTGGTCCTGCGCGCGCGCCGCCATCCGCCCACTTCCCGGCGTGCCCCGGGCGTGCGACGTGGACGCGCGTAGGCCGTAGCGTCGCACGTGACCTGAGGGGCAGCAGTGGCGGGAATCTGTGGGTTCGCGCAGTCGCGGGGTCGCTTGGCCTGTGCTTTGTGATCCCGGCGGGCAGCCCCGGGGCGGCCTCCGCCCTTGTTCTCGCCCGCCAGGCAGGGAAGAAGCCGGTGTGGGAGGAAGGCTTCCAGCTAGAGCCCCCGCCCCCTCCCGCAGCTCGCCAGCAGGACCTTTTGGCCCTCCTGTGGTCTCCGGGACGGCCTCCGCCCTTGTTCTCGCCCGCCAGGCAGGGAAGAAGCCGGTGTGGGAGGAAGGCTTCCAGCTAGAGCCCCCGCCCCCTCCCGCAGCTCGCCAGCAGGACCTTTTGGCCCTCCTGTGGTCTCGCTCCCCGCCCGGATCCTCCTGACCCCGAGATTCGTGGGTCTTCAGGTCCTGCGGTTTCCCTGCTTCGGCCTCACTGTTAAACCTTGGTGGGCCCCTGGTTCCAGGTTCCTGGTGTTGAGATAAGAAACGTTTGCAAACATGTCCCGGATCGAAAAGATGAGCATTCTGGGCGTGCGGAGTTTTGGAATAGAGGACAAAGATAAGCAAATTATCACTTTCTTCAGTCCCCTCACAATTTTGGTTGGACCCAATGGGGCTGGGAAGACGGTAAGTCCTGAGTAGCCACCTTCAGTTTACCGGTCGCCATATCTTAATCCGGAGAGTAAAATGTAGGGGAGTTCACAACTCTAGGAAGACAGGCGTCCCTACGGCTCCGCTCGTGGAGGCCCGGGAAGTCCCTCGGGGCGTGGCCTGGTGTGGCCTCCAGGAGTTGGACTGACCCAGCCTCAAGGGTGTCCAGGTTGACTTGAGAATCCCACGCCGCTCCCGCTGAGCGAGCTCACAGTGCTACAAGAAGCCCTTAGGTCTGCATTTTTGCAGTGATGTTTTTTAACGCTGTGTCCCAAAGCATAGCATGCACTTCCTGGGAGTTTTTCCATACAGGAATTCCTCAAAGAATTACGAAATTACAAAATATGATAAATATATGACTACGAAGAGTTTCTGAGTATGCTGACTGTCCAGCCATAATAAATGGAAAATAAAATTTAACTTTAAAATGGAACCGATGTAGTGGGCCTTAGTTAAATTGGGAAACTGTATTTGCTTTATGTATTTGTAAAGTTGCTCTTACCCAGTCAAAGTAAAACACTTGGAGCACAACTTATTTGCTGTGATTTTTTTAAAGCCTTGGGAATATGTAGAAATTTGAGTAAAAAGTATAGCCAAGAAGCGTTGTGGGCAGGAGTGGCTTAAGAAAAAGCAAGGCAGTATCAGTATAGCAGGAAGAAGAGTCTAAAGGAAGGATTTGTGAAAATCGTATACAAAGAGATAAGGTTGAGAGTTGAATGTTAGACTGTTGTCTGCTTTTGTTTATGTAGAAGTGCCATTTATTGAAGGCCTTTTATGAGATTGGCACGCTACATATTGCACTAAGGAGGCTTCCGGAATACCTATTCTGTACTTAGCGTTGTACTAGGTACACTACCGGAAGGAAGACTAGTATAGCGTTTATGAGCACTGGCTGCCTGAATACAAATTTTTTGCTTCATCGTTTGTTAGCTGTATGACTGCTGGCAAGTGACCAAACTGCTCTGTGTCTTAGTTTTATCGTTTATAGAATGACGATAAAAATAATTTCTACAGCTTAGAGTTAGTATTATAATGAAATAGTTAATGTACGTAAAAGTGCCATAGTATTTACAATACTTGACACACAGGAAGCTCTGTGAAACTTAACCATCGTTGTTATTAACTTAAATTAGTTTAAAGAGTTCTAATTGGAAATAGAGAATTATTTTTTTCCAGATCACAATTCTTTATTTTAGGATACCTGCTTAATTGTATAGCTTCTCTATGAATTTACAGCAATTATACTCTAAACACTTAATTATATCTTTATTACGGGTTTTATAATGTCAAATTTTACCTGATGATATCTTTTATAGTCCCCATGATAAATAATATTCCTATAATGAATTAATATTTTGTGATAAACTCCTGCAGTCCTTTTATAACTAAATAATATAACTTTCTGTTTCTTCAGACCATCATTGAATGTCTAAAATATATTTGTACTGGAGATTTCCCTCCTGGAACCAAAGGAAATACGTTTGTTCATGATCCCAAGGTAATGGTACTAGTAAAATTTTGTATTTTCAAAATAAAATTTTTATAATTATGAAAGTGATAATAGCTCATTGTAGAAAACCTGGAAATGGAAAAGTATAAAAGGAGATGAAAGTCACCCACAGTCTTAGCACCCTTCGGTAGCCATTGTTGACATTTTCTTGTATTTTCTTCCTCTTTTACATACTGTTTTACAGAGCTGAGGACATACTCTATCTAATTTTATGTTCTTGGTTTTTTCCCCCCCATTTAACATTATCATAAGTGGTAGCCATTGTTGACATTTTCTTGTATTTTCTTCCTCTTTTACATACTGTTTTACAGAGCCGAGGACATACTCTATCTAATTTTATGTTCTTGGTTTTTTCCCCCCCATTTAACATTATCATAAAGTCCCACGTCATTAGAAAACTGTAATAAATTCTTAATCTTGGTGTTTGGTACATAGGTACTTTTTTTTTATTTTTTTATTTTTTTATTTTTTTTTTCCTTTTTGTCTTTTTTCGTGTCCGGCAACGGATCGCAACCCTCAGTGTTGCGCCCGTACCGGACCGGGACTGGCAACGGGATCACAACCCTCGGTGTTG